TAAAATGTAAAATAAATGAATGTCTATTTTTTTTTGTTATATTTCTAAAACATTTAGATTTAACTAATATTATCTATATTTAATTTAGTAATATTCTTAATAAGATTCTATATAGTTGTGAAGATATAAAACAATATCGAAAGTTATTTTTGTTGAATATTAAATGAGATTTATTTATTTTATACTTCAAATTCACTTTACCTTCGCAAAATTAGTCAACGTTGAATTTGAGAAAATTATTAGATAAATTTAAAATTATATATACATAAGCTAATGTTTTATATTTAAATTAAAATTTGATGAGTTTTATTTTAAAAAAATTATAAGATGATAGACAATTAAATAAAATATAATAAGAATTACATTAATTAAGTAAAAATGATTTTTATGAGCTTTATGATTTTTCTATAATATATACTAATTACACATTTTAAAAATTCCAAGTATCAGCTTCTTAAAAGAAAACGTCCAGTTCATTGCACCTCTCTTGTATACCGGATGTAGAGGTACGTCGGGACTCAAATAAAATGTTGACCCGTGGAGTGGACACATGAATATTCATTTTGATTTATTTTTTACTTTATATATTTAATATATTCGTGGAACTTTAAGCCTTGAGCACCAAAAGTATAGTCAAAGCACAAGTAAAGTGCAAGTAAAGTGCAGGTAAAGTATAGTCAAAGTATAATAAAAAAGCACAACAAAAGAGCAGTCAAAGCATAACTAAATTGCAACTAAAGCACATATAAAGCGTAAGTAAATCGCACAAAAAACTGCAACCAAAGTGCACTCTGCATGTCAAATTTTAAGTAGATGTCCTCTGCGCCTAATAATTTTCCCTCTTGTACATGCCGGCACGGTGCATGCGAAGCTCTCAGAAAGATTATTAGTTGCAGAAAAAATAATTTAATTATATATAATGTTAAAATGTTTACTTTTATTTATTTTATAACTGCATTACATGAAAGTTTTCCTATCTAAATTTTGAAATTTAAGCTTGTTTGGACAGTTTTCTCATTGATTTTTAAAGTAATTTTTAAACGAAGCCGTACTCTATTGTCTCTCCATTTAAATATTAGTTTCAATATTGATTTATATATGATATTAAATAGAAATATTTTAAATTTATTAATATCTTTTTATTGAAGTTGAGATAGTTGAGAAATATCATGATCACTTTAGCTACGAATGATCACTCAAATTTTACTAGTTAATTAAAATAAAACAAGCAAGCTATCCAATAAATTTTAATAGTTAATTAAAATAAAGCTATCACGGTATTCCCCGCTTAAGTAATTAACGTCTTCGTCAGCATCACTATATTGTGAAACCCTTAAGTAAAAGATGTTAAACTCTTAAACAACGAGGCTCTTTTTAGTGTAATGGTTGAAATTTTATTAAAAAACTTCATAGTTAAGCATGCTCATCCTGGAATAATTTTGGGTTAGGTGACTCACCGGAAGGTTTCAGTAACAAGACAAAACTGTAAGGACCTTAGGCCAAAGCGGACAATATCTTGATAGTTAAGAGTTTGGGATGTTACAAATGATATCGGAGTAATACATCAGTCGGAAGATGGGAACTAAGTGTCATACAAGGCAAAATAAAACGCCATGGAAGCCACCTCTTGAACCCTGAATGGGACAAAGTGCAACATGACGGGAGACACCACATGAACTTGTAGGGGACATCTCTAGAATCCTATATGCACGAGGACATGTCCATAGTGGATGATTATGGAATAAAGATGATGACGAGGACATCAGTTACATAAGTGGGGAAGACTGTGAAACCTCTTAAGCAAAATAAGCTAAACTCTTAAACATCAAGGTGCCTTATGGTGTAATGGTCGGAATTTTATTTAAGAAACTTTGCAGTTAAACATGCTCATCCCTGAGAAATTCTTGAATGGGTGACCTAGTGAGAAGTTACATCAACATGATAAAATCGTGAGGCCCTTAAGTTAAAGATGACAATATCTCGATAGTTAAGAGTTGGTGTTATTATAAATTTAAAAATTTTCAGAGAAATGTAAACAGAGAGAAAAGAAAAGGTAGGATTTGAATGTCGCGGAGTAATTTTCGTCACTCAAACAAGTTGAGAAATTTACCCGGCTCACTGTCAGAAATCTTTACCCTATTTTTGGTTTCAAAGATATTATATTTTTAATATTTTTTCATTCAAATTTGTATTTTTATTACAAAAAAATGAGAATAATTTTGTATTGGTAAAACTATCATCACAAATTTTTTTTATATATTCTAGAGATTAAGAT